GGTATCTTCGAAAAGAAATGTGATCAGTTGTCAACCTAGAGAAATTACTTCTTTAGGAGGTACATTTGTAATGTTAGTTATTTAAATATGAAATAAACATTTCAACAGGCCACTAAACCAAAGAGTTCATGGTACATATCTTAGTAAAAATATATTTGATCCAAAATATGAACAAATGGTAAGTAACATAAGTAGGCCAAAGTAATACAGTTTAGTCTCTTTTTTATTACAAAACTTGACTGATTTCCTATATTACTGAATTTTGTAACTGTGTATTATAACAGCGAAGTATATGCAACTGTGTATTTGTCTAAAATAGACAAAACATTCTGTATTATAAACTATAATGGGCAGGCTTTACTTTTTTAGTGTACACATATCTAGATACAACTAAACTTTTGTCTGATAGGAATAAATTAAAAACATACTGAAGAAAATGAGTTCTTCTCTGCCATCATTTGCCTTGTAATAACATCAAGATATCTTTATTCCTCCTTTCCATTTAGCTTTACATTTTGGTTCCCAGGACAGTAGCAAAGATTAAGTCTGCAAGGTTATTTAGACTACTTTGATAATGTGTCAAAACTCAAATTCTTTAATTGATGTGTTCTAAGCAGAATATCAGCTCACTCTGTGATAACTCTCCTCTCCCCAGAAACATTCAGAAGGGCCACAAACAATCCCCCAGGAATTGGTTAGTAATTATCCATAGTGTTTATTTTGTATACTTTAGTAATGCTATGTATTCTCTTTAATCTGGTCACTCCAAAGAACCTGAAAACATTCTTTAAAAAAAAAATCTGACCAAAAAAAAAAAATCTGTGTAGGTTTTATTAAACATATATATTATCATCGTATCAAGTGCTATTATATAGTTTTTTAACATGATTTTTTTTGTTTCAATTATATTGTTCAATAAGATAAAACTTTGTTATATTCTTGAACTATTTAAAATATTTCTTAATTTGTGTTCAGAGCATTCCCATTTTTGTTTTGTTTTGTATTTTTTAAGTAGGCTCTGCTCCCAGTGTGGAGCCCAGCGTGGGGCTTGAACTCACGATCCTGAGATCAAGACCTGAGCTGAGATCAAAAGTTGGACACTTAACTGACTGAGCCACCCAGGCACCCCATTGTCCCAGTTTTTTTATTTGCCTGCCCCATTATAGTTACATTCCTTTATTAATAAGGATCATTCCAATAAAAAATTGGAGTCTTTATTTAGCGCTTAATAATTGTCTAGAGCTGTGCAAGATACTGTAGAGGCAGTGGAAGAAATATAAGATAGGCCCTCTGATCTTAAAGAACTAGATATTTAAAAGACTACATTTCTGAAACAACCAGAGGAAAATATAAGGAGGATGACAGGAGGGAAAAATTGTGAGACAAACTCTGAAGTATTAAGAATAGACAGGTCAGTATAGGCTAAAGTAGTTATAGAGAATGTGACCTGCGCTTTGAAGTGGGTGGGTAAGGAGGTATAGCATTTAATCTTGGATTTAAGAATTGACAGATATCCAGAACAAACAAAGCACTGGCTAAAGAAAATGGATAAGTTTTCTGAAATTGAGACCTTTTAATGCAGATCGGATTTTAAAAATGTTATTTACTTGTTTTAATATCTAAAATTATGACACTTTAGAACCAACTAGTGCAAACTCCTACAGTTATCAACATTTAAAAAGTTAATTGTTTTCAACTTAAAATTTTAGATTATTGACTGTGTCTTAAAGATGTGTCTTAAAACTTTAGATTATAGACTGAATGAGGTGCCTAGTAGAGGTCTATGTACCGAATTCTCTACAAGATCTTGAGAACTGACTGCAAAAAAAAGTTTTTGACCATGCCTCTAAAGGAGAGACATGCTTTCAGGATGCCTTTAATTTGTGGTTTCTGATTCTGTTGTACCATTTGAAGTCCTGATTTTATATTTAGATTATTTTGAAATTACGGAACTAATAATTAAAAGCTGTGCTTATAGCCTTCTATGTCAAACAAAAAGCTAAAGTAGTTTTTAAAACCATCGCATCCATATAATGTGGCTTTTGTGCAAATTTGCTTGTTTTAAAAATAATACTTTTTTAAGTTGCCACTTTTTATATGGAGGCTAGTATAAAGGTCTGCTGGATATAGGGGCGCCTGGTGGCTCAGCTGTTAAGCGTCGGACTCTTGATTTCAGCTCAGATCATGATCTCAGGGTCTTTGGATTCAGCCCCCTGTTGGGCTTTGCACTCAGCACAGAGTCTGCTTGTCCCTCTCCCTCTGCTCCTCCCCCCACCCATGCTCTCTTGCTCTCCCTCTCTCTTTAAAATAAATAAAATCTTTTTTTTTTTAAATTGGCTTGATATAGAGTGAGAGTGCAGAAATACTTTACACTTCTCGTTTCATGAGGTCTGATAAAAGGCCCTGATCAGAGTTCAGTGCATATGTCCCCTTCTATCTTCAGTGATGCGGAAAGGCTGGAACAGCAGCAGTGAGGGTAGAAGGGAGCTTTGTGCCGTGGCTCTGAACTGCGTGTGTTACAGGAAGGATGGCCCAGCAGAGTTCCTCTGCCACTTCAAAATTTTTCTAAGAAATAAGTTGAATGTTTCAAGTAAATTTCTTTTCTTGGACTGAATTTCTAGATACTTCTTGTATATTTTTATGGTTTAGAAAAACATGTTCACACCCATTAAAGGACCAAATACTAGTGAATATAATTAGAAAATGGAAACAAAGTAGTTGCCTATTCCTAAGAAATGACATTTTAAGTTTATTCTATCGTGACTAACCAAGAGAAGATTTAAGAATTCTCTTTTGGAATTTGAATATATAGGTTTGAATGATATTTTGAAAGAAATGGCTTATTAGTGATTTAGAATTTGTTACCTTCTTCCTTTGCCATCTAAGATAGATGAGTAGGCAGCTGGACTTGTGCTTATCTGTACATTTGTATTTTACCAATTACTTTATTCAGGATCAAAGTGTGGCATGAATTCATTATCCATTTGGCATTGTTGAAACTTTCAAATAATTAAAAACTCTTTCATTTCTAAAAATGTTTATCTCTGCCTGACAATTGTGATAATGAGAGAATACAGAATCATTTTGTGGGTTTATGTTTTACTGATAATGTAATCTATTATATAACAATAAGCTTAATTTTTCTATTTCATATCAATTCAAAGTTATATTCTAGATATTCTGTAGGTGTTCTTTAATGTGTGTGTGTGTGTTTATAACTAAGAAAAGCTTCAAAAGGTAAATGCTTAAATTTATTTTTCCCCTTAAATTTACTTTCAATTTATATATTCTTTACACAGATAAAACTTTCTTTTCATATATGTGCGTGTGTGTGTGTGTGTGTGTGTGTGTGTGTGTGTGTGTGTACACACACTATGTTCCTATTAAATGAATACCATAGTAGAAATTACTGATCCGGCAACCCAAAAAACCTTCAGTTTTGCTCAGTTCTACCACTCAGTGCCATTAGCGTCTCTCTTAAGAATTATGTGTAGGTTATGAATCTTATTCTTCCTCTTACTAGTTTTTAAATTTTTAATGTTTCATTATTTATTTTTTAAAAGATTTATTTGTTTAAGAGAGAGAGAGAGTGTGTGTGGGGGGAAGGGGCAGAGGGACAAAATGTCCAAGCAGACTCCTGCTGAGCAGGGAGTCTGATATGGGCCTCTGTCTCACGACTCATGACATCAGGACCTGAACTGAATCCAAAAGTTGGATGCTTAACTGAGTGAGCCACCCAGGCACACCACTAGGTTTTTTATTTTATTTATTTATTTATTTTGTTGTTGTTGTTCAGTTAGATAGCACTAGTTTTTTAAATTAGGTTATTCTCTTATGTCAGGAAACAGCATAACAGCATAGCATAGTAGAATTTTGGCTGTATTCCTTCAATATATTAGATAACTACTCTGAACCTCAGTTTACTAATTTATGAAGTAGATATGATAGTTTCATTCTGGTGATGATTAGATGAGTTGTATATGTGTTTTGCCTGAGTTAAATTTCAGCTGCAGGACATGGTAACTATATAATAATAATTATCATTTTTAAAATCTTATATGTAGCTGTTATAATAATTTTAATAGTAAGGATAATTATAATTATGATTAAATCACTATATTTCATTATCTTTATCTACCAAATGAGGACAACCCATGTCCTCTTCTAAATTCCATAACTATAATGAAACTGTATTATACTATTTTATTTTAAAGTGCCTTCTAGTAGAGGATATATTTTCCAAGTCTTACCTTTATGAAGAAGTACACAAACTTGACATTGGACAGTATTATTTGTAATTTATTGGTTTTTGAATCAGAAGTAATTACTGAGTGGTAACTCAGGTTTATCAGTTTCCTAAAACCCTGCATTTCTCTTAACTTGTACCAAAATTTTGCTCTTTCTTCAGAAATGTATTATAGCACTTATTCTATGTTATCGCTAGTAACAGAAAGTACAGTTAAAAATCTTCATGTATAGGGATGCCTGGGTGGCTCACCCAGTTAAGCATCTGCTTTCGGATCTTGTTATGATCTCAGGGTCCTGGGATCGAGTCCTGCATCAGGCTCCTTGCTCAGCAGGGAGTCCGCTTCTCCCTCTGCCTGCCACTCCCCCTGCTTGTGCTCTCTGTCTCCGACAAATAAATAAATTTAAAAACATCTTTAAAAAAAATCTTCATGTATAATTCCTTTTCTTACTCTGAGAAGTGACTTAAATTAAGTTGTAATAAATAAATGGTAGTATGCTTATATGGTATTTACTTGTTTTCTTCTCTGCTAGGAGATGGGAGAGTGACTTAGCACTTACACAAATTATTCTTGGGTTATATGTTGATTTACATGATAAACTTCCGTTAGAAGATAGGAAGTTGCCCGGTTTTTCTTCACTGTATTTGTATCTGATAAATGTACTATGTTTTTCCCCCTCAGAAGAAATTATGTATATTTAAAACTCAATGTTGATATTCTCCCAAAACTAATAATGTTTTCCTTTTGTTCTAGTTCAGACTTGGTTCCTTCAACCTGGAGAAAGTTGCAAGTCCAGCTGAGGTCATTAGGAAACTTATTTGTGATTGCCTGGATACTATCACAGAAAACCAAGCCAAAAATGAGCACCTGCAGAAGGAAAATGAAAGGCTTCTGAGAGATTGGAATGATGTTCAAGGACGGTATGTGCTAATGTTCTTGTATTATAAAAACACTAAGCTCTCATATTGCTATAGATTTAAGTTAATGATTTGTAAGTTTATAATATATGTAGACTAGCATATATTTAGCATAAAATCTTAGTATGATTAAATCAAGCTCTTGGTCATTACTGTACATTATTGGAGTACGTTAACACTTATTGGTCATTAGTATTTGGTGGCACCAGCAAACTAATGAACAATAAGGAGTAATCAGGCAATGAGAATCAGAAGCCATTAATATTAATCAAAAGTTAGGAAGTTGATATTTATAAATTTAATTTACCTCAAATTATAGGATTAATAATGAATAAAAAAAGATATGAAATGTAAGTATGCCAATTGATTACTTATATGGACTCTTTATATAAATGGTAACTATTTCAGATGCTGTGTGCTTTGGCTCCTATTATAGACTTATTTTGTTCACTGAGAATTCATACTACCAGCATTTTAAAAAGATGAAGTAATTGTGTTTACTAGATAAGACATTTGGAAGCCCTTATTTTCATGATTTTGCCTCTTTTTTTTTTAAAAAAAAGAATGAAGAAAGTCACTTTACTTCTTGTTATGCATTTTTTTCAATTGTATCATAATAGGCCAGCCCAGGGTGTATTTTTATTACTCTGTTAGGTAAGAGATGTTTGAATGAAACAAAATGTATGTTGTGACCATTTGTATCTCTACAGAGACATATAACATCATATGCATGTGTTTGTACATATGTGCATGGCAACATCTGAAAGAGTTATATGGAATATATATAATAATATTATTATTATATCCAGTATATCCAGTAGATTTTTTATCTTTAAATCAAACCACTAGCTCTGAAACATAAGAACAATTTTCCAATTTAGGATCTTTTTAGGATAATCCTTAAGATTGTTTAAAATGGATTGGTAAGTAAATGTGAGAATATATGAAAAATGTGAAGGGTTTACCACTATCAATGTATGTTTGTGGAAAGGGTGTTAACTAGAAGGAATTATGTTTCTATATATCCAATTATATTTATTAATGTAAGACATGTAAACTTAACACCTAGAACTTGACTATATTTGGCTTTCAGTGATTATATTAAGAAAGTATCTTGTTCTCTTTTATTTTTGAATTAACATTTATCTCCAGTTGTATAAAAAAAAATGAGACCAAATCAAAGCTGTGTAAATATTAGGAAACCATATGGAAAAATAAGTTAATTTTTCCTTTTCTCCTTAAAGCCATGTTAGTATGATTCAGTATCAAATATCTGTGCTATAAAGCATGGTTCTGGGTCTTTATCTGTAGTTTAGATATGCTTTTCTGTTTTATATATGAAATAAATCAAATTAAGGGAGATGTACTGTGACTGTGATAAGCCATTATATTTAAAACTCAAAATACCCTCAAGATGATAGGAAATTTGTTCCACAAATTACCCACAAAAATGCATACTGGGTACTTGGTCCTTGAACAAATTGCTTTAAAATGTCTGCCAGAGGTTGAAAGAGGTGTTACCTCATCAGTATTCAACACCAATGCAGTATACTGGAAAGCAGCAGGGAACAAAGATGAGATGGTGGAAACAAACGCACCCTGTGCTGTAAAACATTGGGGGAGGGCTGTGTATAATATGTGGCCCCCTGATGCTTGATTTGCTATTCTTGAACTGTCCAGAAAGTGCTTTTGCATTATTGTGGCAAAACGTTTCCATTTGATCAAAAGCACAACCATATCTCTCATCCCCGGGCTTATTATGCTCCAGCTATTCTTTTTTTGTAAATACTGGGTCATGTATTTTCTCCAGGGGTTGAAGATTGTGTGCTATTGTGGTAGCCTCCCAAACAGGAAAGTGAGCCTGCTCCAGAGAATTCTGGATTAGTTAGCTCTCTCTATTTTCCAAATTTCCCAAATGGTTTTCTTTCCTATCAGAGGAGAAGGTGGCCATTTTAAAGAGCTGTAAATACATCTTGCTCATGGCCAAGCAGTACTTTTCTAAATGTTCCCTCTCTAGAGCCTTAGTATGGTGGAAAATGAGCCAAAGGATTTAAATTTCCATCTTCTATATGGCAGTAGTACTGATGAATAGTCTTTAGGGAAATTAGAAATAGGACATGAACATAGTGAGTTCGGTAACTGAGGACATAGAAAGTAGAGAATCATTAGAGTGGTGGCCATCATGTTAGGCCTGGCCACAGTTCAGTTTTTTGGGCAGCCTCTGATACTCCTATATCAGTGTCCATCCATGCTCCAATCATTTCTTCCCCATCATTGTTTCAGACTGTGTATATATGGGAGGATGAAGGAGGGACCAGCACAGAATAGATGCTGAGAATTCCCTTAGAGCTATGGTAGATAGGTCCTAAATAAATGTAATACACAATGGGATATTATATGAGCAAAAAACAGTCATATACGCATGTGCTTGTACCATGGAAAATGTTAATATGTTAAGATGAGAAATGTGAGTTATCAAAAAGAGGAATAGTATGCCAGTTTTTGCAAAATACATCTTTAAGATAGAAAATATCTAGAGGGAGAAAATTAAATGTAATAGTATATGTCTGGAATTGCGGATTAAATTTCTTTTTTTACTCTTTGGGGGTATTTTTTGTATTTTGAAATTGAAATACGTATAATTATAATCAGAACCAACTCTAAAGCTATTTCCATTTGGGATGACAGTGGAGAATAAATGAAGTTTGAATAAGAAATGAGGAATTACAGTATGAGTAAAAAAATGAGTTTTAATGTGCAGACTTTTAACATATCTGCTGTTATTTTTTATTAACTGTTTAATAATTGTGGTCTTAGCTCCATTTTGAACAAGTGACATTACTGGATCAATTTAATTTTGTATAGGTTAGGTGAAGGAGAAAACATTAGAAATATTGTATGTGAATCCTTAAGTTATTAGCTATATTTATTTCACTTGTTTTTCCTATTTAGTTTCAAATACAACTCTCGAGTTCCATATTACTAAATAGGTCTTTTGTTAGCTCAGACATCAAGTTAGAAACTCCAGCTTTATTCTGCGTTATAGTTATTAAACCTGTAACTGGAGGCAGTTCTCCGCAGATTGAATTGGGTTGACACTCATGGAATCATAAGAATAGAAGAGACCTTGAAAGCTCTTTTACTTCATCTCTCTGCCTTCAGGCTAGGATCACATTATATCCAGATGAATTCAGTCTGATTTTTAAAGACCTCAGGAGATAGCTTCAACTCCCCTTGGTAGCCCATTATAGTGTTTAAGAACAGTCACAGTCAGAAAATTCTTCCTTCCGTCTCTTAGTAATCTGAGTCCTTCATGGTATAGTTGAAGGCCATTTCCTCTTGTTCTGTCGTCAGAGAGGACGAGGAACAGCTGTTTACCATCTTCTTCAGTACTTAAAGGCTTATTAAATCTCTTTACCACTGCTTTCTTTTCAGTTCTTTTTAGCATTCTTTGTCCTCTGAACTCCATTCACATTTTCTTTTGCTGTACATCCCTGACCTGGATATAAATTTGGCCAGAGCTGATTGTAAATATAAGGATTACTGCACGATTTCTAAGCACCACATGTTCCCATTTATGTATCTGATGTTTTATTTGGGTTATCTTTTAATCTGTTTTATTTTGAATTGTATTTTTGCATGAAATTGCCTTGTTTCTGCTCTTATTTTTGTTATTTTTTGATGTTATTCTTCTTAGACTCTTTGTTTTCCTGCATAGTATTTTATTTTGCTTTATTTTTTTTAAAGATTTTATTTATTTGAGAGAGAGAGAACGAGAGACAGAGAGCACGAGAGGGAAGAGGGTCAGAGGGAGAAGCAGACTCCCTGCTGAGCAGAGAGCCCAATGTGGGACTCGATCCCGGGACTCCAGGATCATGACCTGAGCCGAAGGCAGTCGCTTAACCAACTGAGCCACCCAAGTGCCCTGCAGAGAAGTATTTTATTTAGAATATTCAGTATTTCCCATACTTAGTCTTTATCCTTTTAATTTTTTTAAATTACTCTTCTTTCGTCATAGTTTTTAGATATGTCAGCCCTATGGTACTAATTAATCTTAACACTATTGTTCTTTTGTCCTAGTCACTGTTGAAAGGATGAAGCATCATTAGCCCTCTCCTGTTTGATGTTATTTATGTTTTCATCAGGTTTGAGTTTTGCCTTCGAGATGATCCTTGGACTAGTTGTAGTCTAATCTAGTTGTATGTGAGTTCTCCTTTAGTATCACTGACTTGGCAGTGAATCCCATGTCTCTCTTTCACTAAATGGCCTCAACTTCTAATACCTGTCTAGTTTTTTCAGTGAAAGGTTAGCAGGAGGCAAGTAATATGGAAGGCCTAGTAGCATCATAATGCTGTAAGAGAGGATTGGCATTAAAAATGGGGTAAGGAAGATGGTATGTACTTCTTAGTTACTGAGTATTTAATAGAAGAATAATGTTCTCCAAATTTGATAAATTAATAATTGAGAATAAATTTTTGTCCTGTTCACAGTAATACTGTATCCCAGCCAACCCCCAACTCCCTAGCTTTGTCTAGGAAGTGTTAACCAGTTTGATAGTCAGAAGTTTGGTTGCAAGAAAATCCTAAAGGTTTGCTAAAACCAAACAAGATTAAGTCATAGAATGCCATTTATTCTATTGTTTGTTCTCCTATCACAGACATGTTACCTTTGACAGTGTAGTTGTGATACTAGTTATTAGGATTAACAGTATTCTTTAGACAAAGTACATGATACTTTATTTTTATATTTATTTTCATTTGTAATCCTTGTGTTGTACCAAATGTCAGTTTTAATAAGGATTTTGAAATTTGCTTGATAGTTGTTAAGTGCACATAATCTGTCAATTAAGAATTATTGAAGTGATTTATATGGAAATTAAATATGCATTTAAATCAGATAAATAACCAAGTGGTTCCTGATCCTAAAACTTTATATAATGCACGAGATTTTTATTGTACATTCTTGTAATTGGTTTTTAATTTGCCTTTGTATAACATATTTTATAGTGTACGCAAGTATTTTGGTGGTGTTCATCTTTTAAACTTTTTTTCTTATGTTACATTAGAAAATAGTACAAAAAATGAGATAGAATGTTTAACACTTTGCATCTGAAATAAAAATGCAGTGACATGTCCCTGCTTAACATAAGCCATTGATACTGGCAGTTCCTCTTCAACTTTGACTCTGTTCCCCCCTCCCAACTTTTTGGTATACTTCTTTCTCAGAGAGCTTTGCTTGATGAAAGGAGTACTGTTATATTAATATTTACCACAAATTTTATTAGAAGCTGAAAGGGATGAAAAATGGTGCTCTTAAAATGGTGAATAGCTGTTAAAGGAGTGAAAAATAAATTCAGAATCACTGATTCTCCATTTCCTTATAAGATGTCCATATTAACTCCCTTTATTAATTTTTCTAATATCTACTCCACATCTGTTGAATGGCAAACACTATGTTAGGCACTGAAGATAAAGCAGTCAGTAAAACACACATGGTCTCTGCCCTTACGGAGTTCACAGCTGTGGCAATGATTGTACTATGAGTGTTGTAATTGCTCCCAGAAAATATACTGCTTTTTGTTCCTTTTCATTCCATAAGAGGCCCTGATTCTTTGCATCTCTAAATAGGTGGATTATTGAAAGCATAGGAACATGTATATCAAAGGTATCAAATTTTGACATTTTTGTTTATAATTTTTCAATGAAAAATTCTATATTGCAAATATATAAAATATATGTACATAAATACATATATATTTAAAATACTAGAATACCTGCATAGAATAAGTATAAATAAATAGTAAAGAGAAAACAAGGCAGAGCAAGACTATATTTAAAATAATATTTTATATGGAATAATATATGTTTGAATCTTTAAAATACAGGTTTATTCGTGGTTTGTGTGAATGAGCATATCTTATATATATAGTCTCTGTTAGCTTTCTTTGTATCTGGAAGAATAAAATTAGTGTAATCTCTTGTTAGCTCATTTGAACATTGTAGAAAGAATTATAAATGATAGAGAGAATTTTATATTTTGTCTTATATATTTAAAATTGAAGATATATAGTGTTTCTCATTTGCTGCTTCATTAATCTCTCCTTGGAAATTTCAAGTTGGATATTTTCATTCATTATATATATGCATACGTGAGTGTGTGTATGTGGTGCTGATAACTGCCTAAGTCATGTTCTTGCCATGGAGCAGTTCATAGTCTATTTAGGGAAAACTGATTAGGTAAATCACCTAATCACAAAACAAGATCATGGTTGCTATTATAGTAATATTAGTAAAGTACAGGAAACATAGGCTATAATTACTCTTGTGTGAAATTCCTCCCATAGAAATACTCTTGGAAATAAATCGTAGATGTAAATAAATGATTACATTTAGGTATTTAGATGTTTTAAAAGCTTTTTGGGTATCATTTTCCAATTTGATCCTTATCTCACTGCATAATTACTAACATTAATAAACAATAAATTGTAATTGTTTAATTATCTGTATAAAACTTTAAGTCAATGAAAATCTATAAAAGTGATTTTTAATTGTATTTTCCTTGAAAAGTTTTCTTGAAATCATCTTCAGTATTGGATTGAATAATATTAATGCTAAGAAAAACTGCATGATTTATTTATTTGTTTATTTACATTTTAGATTTGAAAAATGTGTGAGTGCTAAGGAAGCTGTGGAGACTGATCTTTATAAACGGTTTATTCTGGTGCTGAATGAGAAGAAAGCGAAGATTAGAAGCTTACATAAATTGTTAAATGAAGTTCAAGAACTAGAAAAGAACGTTGAGCCTGAAAGGTATTTTGAGTTGTCTGTTTTGAGATGGCAGATACAGAAATTTGGATGGAATTTTTTCCCAAACTTAATGAAAGTTAGGTGCCGACTTTTTAGTAATGTCTGGGGTTGGATGCTCTGGGTGTTGGATGCAATGGGCTGGAGAATTCTCAGCATGATCCCTCCTTGTCTGCCCACTGCCATAACTACACTTAAATCCCTAAAACTGGCATATGACTTATCTAAGTATTATTTGTGTAATTCTTAGACATCATTAAAAATAATAAAAACTTATCTTCTGCAAAACTGCAGAGTTGAATACACATTTGTAATCTTGGTGTCTAAGTAGTGGTTAATTTTAGAATCAAGTGGCTCTGAGAGTGGACATAGCCTTGATTTTTAAGGAAAAATCATAGGTGACTTATAGCTGGTATGGTTTGGACACTTATAATTATTTTAGTCTGGTTTTTATTGTTTTATTATTTTATTTATTATTTATCCACTTAATTATTTTAGTGGACCCAGGTTTGGATCTTTTGCCCTGAATCCAAGAGAATGCACAGGTTTACTAATGGCGTCATATGAAGAACACAGCATTTGATGTCAGATGGTCCTAGTTCAAGGCTGTCTGGCACTGATAATCTGTTAGTACACGACTTTGGGCAAACTGTAAACTCTCTGTGCCTTACTTGGCATCTTCATAATAAGACGAAAGATACCTCTCTGAGAATTTGGGGGCAATCAGAAGCAAGGCAGAACGGCTTTGAGATCAATAAAATACTGAACACTCTTTGAGCCACAGAAGATAATTTGGAAGAACAGTATTTTGATAGATGAATAATATGATAAGAAACTGATTCAAGAGTTGATTATAGTGAGCACTAAACCACATTTAAATTAGGTAGAAGGGAAACTTGTTCTTAAGAGAGTTAACATACAGTCTTTAAAGTGCTTTCATCTTAATCATATATATTTCAATATATGTTTATTTAACTACAGTATTTTTCCAGGGATATTTTCTATATTTACTTACTGGTGAATTTGATACCTAGCCAGGGGTGAGCCAAAAATTTATAATTCTACCTTTTTCCGCTTCTAGGGAAACCACAACATGTTCTGAAATGACTGCTGACAGAGATGCAGTCTATGATGAAAGCACTGATGAGGAAAGGGAAAACCTGCCTGATCCCTCTGTGTTAGCTCCAGGTAAGAGGAATGCATTCATTACCTTTGTTGAATATCTCACTCGGGCTTCTTATTCTAAAGGTAATAAACCGTAATGAAAAATGTTATGAAAAAAGTCTTTTCTACAAAAATTCTTCAGGGTTTTTAGTCTGAAACCTCAAGTACTTAATGTTAAAAATTAATATTTATTATAAAATGCAGCAACTCATTAACAAACAAGCATGCATACTTACACACACACACCAAAGCATGCTATTTCTTTTTTTTTTTTTTAAAGATTTATTTATTTATTTGAGAGAGCAAGAATGAGAGAGAGAGAGTACATGAGAGGGGGGAGGGTCAGAGGGAGAAGCAGGCTCCTTGCTGAGCAGGGAGCCTGATGTGGGACTCGATCCCGGGACTCCGGGATCATGACCTGAGCCAAAGGCAGTCGCTTAACCAACTGAGCCACCCAGGCGCCCAAGGCATGCTATTTCTTATTAAAGAAGGGTGCATAAGGAATAAGCAAGATATGTATGTGTTCATGCTAGTTATCTCTAGCTTGAAGCTGGCTGCCTTTAACATGTGAGAGCTTATCTAGCTAGAACTACGGATGGGCAAGGAGCAGGGTGATCTAGAATGCTTCTGATTGTCTTGAGGCTGGGCCTTCTTTCACTATTCAGAAAAGGGGAAGAGAAGGGGAAATGGCAGTTTAAGTTAAAGTACCTGAGCCTTACTCAGTCCCTCCGATCTAAATCCATGAATTACTTTTCTAAACGTTTATAGATTTCCTAGAGGCAGGAGCCCCTGAACTCATCTTACACTTACATGGTTCTGGCAGAAGCCTAGTAGTCTCAAAATAAATGTTTGATTCATTTATTTAGCAAATATTTTCTGAGTGTCTCTTCTGTACCAGGAACTAGTCTGTGTCAGAGAGAGCAATAATCAAATATTTTTGCTTTCATGGAACTTATAAATTCTAGTCAGGGAAACCGACAATAATAAGATGAATAAATTGAATATCAACTATATTAGATAGTGATAAATGCTGAAGAGAAAAATAAACCAGGGAAGGACAATAGAAACTGTTGGGGTGGAAGTAGGATAAAGGTTATAATTTTAGCCAGGGCACCAGAAAAAGCCTTGGTGAGAAGGTGACAGGTCTACCTGTGGGGCGAGCATGCTAGGCAGAAAAAAGCAGTTAGTTCAAAGGCCCTGATGTGGGAGCTTTCATCAACTTTTTATTGATGTGTTTAAGCAACAGCATGGAGGGAGGTATGGGTAAAATAGGACGATGAAGATGGGGGGATGGAGGTATGAGGTCAGAGAGAGGGCAGATCATGTGTAGGGCCTTATAGGCTATTGTAAGCATTTCAAGGTTTGCTTTCAGTTACACTGGAAACTGTTGGAGGGTTTCAGACATCAGGTGACATGATCTGACTCAGAGTTTTAGCAGGATTAATCTGGCTGTTGTGTTGAGAATGGAGTATACGTAGTGTGGTAAGCACAGAAGAAGTTAGAACAGTGGAAAGCTGGTTCAACAGTTGTGAAGGATGTGAGTGGCTTACACCAGAGTGATAGCAGTGACGATGACACACAACGGGCAGATTCTAGCCATGCTGAGAGGCAGCATATTATTGTTGGTGAAGTGGGGATTGTCCTGAGAGACCGACACACAACAATCATGATAAGTGTTTTGGATTGAATACCAAAGGCATGCAGTTGACTTACTGAATTAGGGGAGTACGCAAGAGCGGGGTTAGGAACTCAGTTTTTCAAACCTTAATTCTGAGATATTGAGTAGGGAGTTGGGTATACAAATTTGGAATTAGGGAGAGGGCTTCCTGCCGAAGATGTTTAAGTAAAGAGGTATTTAAAGCTGGCTGAGCTATCAAGGGAGTTTGAGAAGACCAGAAAGGGCAGTAATCAAGGACTCCACCCTAGTGCACTTGGGTGTGTAGTAAGGAGACCAGCAAAGAAGGCTGAGAGGGAGCAGCCAGGAGGTAGCAGGCAAACACTGTAGGACACAGGTGTTCCTGGAAATCTTAAGAAGGCATTTTCAGTGGGACAGCAGGAATAGAAGGTTCAAAAGAGTGAGAGGAGATAGTTGGGAAGAAACCACAAGCCTACGCAACACTTTTAGCAAGTTGCACTGTAAAGAAAAGGAAAGACCTGGGTAGCTGCTGGAGGGGTGCATAGGGCCAAGGTTTTTTTTTGTCTTTTTCTTAGATGAGAGAAATAATATCACGTTTGCATATTGATGGGAGTAAGAAAGGAAAGGGGGAAAATGTTGCCAGAATTCCTGGAATACTCTTTCTCCTAAGTGAAGATGGGATCAAATGGACAAGTGGCAGGGTTTGGTTAAGTAGGAGCATGGGCACTTTCCATAATGACAGAAAAGAAAGTAGAATAAATGGACAAAGACATAGGAAGGTATCTAATTGGGGGTCATGGACATTTACTGATGCTGATTAGATAAGTTGGTTGATTAACCTGATTCTAATTAGATTTGAATTGGATCGCACAATCACATACACTCTCACTTTTGCACAGCAGAGTTAAGTTTGAAGGCAATGCTTGTTTTACATTAGTGACCCAATATAAAATGAAGTCATTCTTTAATAATCAAATGTAATTGAAAGCTCATAAAAAGGGAATCTGTACTCTTTCCAATCTAAATGTTCAAAATTTTTATTAAATACAATGGACTTTGATTTTGTTCCTTACTCAGAGTATCTTACTAACCTTTGAAGTAGATGAAAATTATTGTTGAAGAGAAAATCCATGGTTAAATAATAGGTATATGAGAATGGGGTCCTTTATGTGTTCAATCTATTTTAGGCAAAGCTTTACTACAATTGTACTATTTTAAATCTGGCAAAATTTCTCTTCTCTTCAAAAATGTTTGGTTCAGGGGCGCCTGGGTGGCTCAGATGGTTAAGCGTCTGCCTTCGGCTCAGGTCATGATCCCGGGGTCCTGGGATGGAGCCCCGCATCGGGCTCCCTGCTAGGCGGGGAGCCTGCTTCTCCCTCTGCCTCTCTCTCTCTCTCTCTGACTCTCATGAATAAAATAAATAAAACATTAAAAAAAATGTTTGGTTCATTGTACCTTTTTTCCTATCTTTTACCTGGCATATTTTCTTTAACTCAAATCTAGTTCACTACATATTTGACATATAGGTCTCTGATTCTCTCTCTTTTTTTTTTTTTTGCACTTAACTTGCTTTTGGCAGGTTTTGATGTCAAGAATTAAGAGCATTTTTATTCGACATTTTAACTATCCTTTTCCTTCTGCTTCAGTAAGAAATATTCAGGAAACTGAATTTTGGAGAAAAAAAAGAGCCTCAGACCTAAAATGCTTGATATTGAATAAGAACCGGATTCCATATTGAATAAGAACCAGATTCCATATTGAATAAGAACCGGATTCCATATATCTGAGAAACATTTTATGTGTTAAACAACAGAATAGGCTTCTTTATAACTTACCAGATTCTATAATTCATTCTTTTACAGGGACAAAATTGTACTCTTAGTCCATGGGATATATGTTTATATATATAATCATAGCTTCGTCTTTTGGTATTTTTTTTTTTTTAAAGATTTATCTATTTATTTGACAGAGAGAGACACAGCGAGAGAGGGAACACAAGCAGGGGGAGTGGGAGAGGGAGAAGCAGGCTTCCCGCGGAGCAGGGAGCCCGATGCGGGGCTCCATCCCAGGACCCTGGGACCATGACCTGAGCCGAAGGCAGATGCTTAACGACTGAGCCACCCAGGCGCCCCTGTCTTTTGGTATTTTATATGTTATTACTATGTATTTGGACCAGAGCAATGAAAGTTTCTTCCTGAACTTACTCTGTCATCTTGATAATGAATTACCTATTCTTATTGTACAAGTAAATATTTGAATTTATTTTAGGTATGCAGGTTCATGTGTGCTTTCCCTACAATAAGAACAGGAGGAAAAAAATTGATGCGATTTAGTATATTTATTCTTTCAGAAAGCCATTTATTTAAAATGCTAAATGTTTAACTTAGTAGTCATTTCTATTATGTAAATGTGTTTTCATCATTAATTTTTAAAACCATCAAATTTCCTCATGAGTCATTCACATTTTTACCCCATTCCTGTATGATAAAAGTTTAGTGAGACCAAGATCACTTAGTGATTCCACAGTATTCATTCAAGGAAAAGGTCTGCTTATTTTTATACATATATCCAGATGTATGATAGGGATATTGTAGTTTGCAGGAAACTTGATAGGTAACTTTTTTATGTATAGGCAATCTCTTTTATTACTTTTTTTCTCCAAAGTTTTAAATTCCCCCCCCCATCATTAGGGTTGTTGAGGAAATAACTGATGACAGTACTCCAATCTAATAAACTACATCATGCTTATATGTATTATACCATATAGTATGAAAAACCCCTAAAATTTTTAGAAGTTGGTTATTTAAAAGGAGATCTCCGAAGTATTCTGAAACTTGAACATCACAGTCTATACCACCCATACCTACATTTTACAGTTTTCTGTAAATATGTAAAGCAAGATTTACTTTCTGTCGTTCTTAACTTCCAGAATTTCTAAATAGGTAGCAATGGTATTACAGACTTAGTTTAAGAAATAAATGATTACTGCATACTAAAGCCCATAGGCATTTAACTTTGTTTCAGATTAAGGTTAAGATAGATAAACTGGTTGCTATGGTCTCTGTTTATAGCTCCACCCCTGGATTACCAAGGAGGATGGATTACTTTCACTCTCACCTAGTTTGTCTAACTCCTTGTGGCTTTAAGGATTTCCTGGTTTGTCTGGATTTGCCCTACCTCCATGTTGTTTTTGTTTTTTGTTTTGTTTTTTAATTGAATGGAAAAATAACCCTGTTGGGTTTTTATAGATATAGTAAAACAACCTTCTCTACAGGAAATCTTCTGTGTTTTGGGATACAAATCAAGGTAACATCTGATGTCCATGTCTTTGGAGAAACTTTAGGTTGAAGTAGGTCTCCCGAATAACAGAACCTCACCAAAATACAGA